CGATATTCAACCCCTATTTTCTGAAGGGCCCAGGCAGAGGTTCGGTCGGATTTTGCGAAGACCGGCGAGTGACGTTGATACCTTATATCGCAATTTGCTGCAAATTGAGTATTTCGTCTGACTGGGAACGCCAAAAGGCCGAAGACGCTGGAAAACAGAGGTCAGTCGCCCATCGAGGACCATAGGAACCGCTTCATCGTAGAATGCATGCCTCATAATAGAGGTTGTTGTGCCCGAGGTGCCGGTGCCGGTCAACGAAGCACATCACGAACTTCTCCTTCCAGGGGTCGAGCCACGTATTGATGCGTCCGGCGGCCTGCGGATGGCCGGCTGCTTCGAACGCAGGGACCAGTGTGTTATAGATAGCCTCATTAGGGCGTTAACGATCCTCGCCACTCTTTGAGGAAGGCTGTGAACGTAGGGCTCGGATTGCGCGATCTCCTTCCTTTGTTGCAGCAGGAAGTGCTTTTGCGCTTGGTAGAACGTTTTCGTTGATATGCCAGCGGCAGAGCAGGTGAACTACGTGGTGTAATTCTGGGAAAGCAACAACTGCATTCATTAGGGCAAGCTCACGATCTGTGACCATGATCCGCGGCGCCGGAATGCCCTCTTCGGCTGCCAATTGGAGTAGGCATTGCAGAGCCCAGCGGTATTGTGATTCAGCCTCCCCGTTGAGGAAGTGGGTGTAATATCGCGGGCAGAAGGGTGGTTGTGGTCTGTACAGGACGGCGATGGCTTCGGAAACCAGGCGCCCTCGCTGCTCCTCTTAATAAGGCGGAAGCCGCAGTCGCATTTGTATGTGGCCTGGTTCGCCCGGCGTTTTGATCTATGGGCGCTGGGGTCAGTAGAATCGCGATGCCCGCCAGCCCGCGAGCAGGTCATGTAGGCGTCGTTATCCTCCCCGATCGTACAATCAGGGCGTGGCCTTGTGCCTTGGCGACCAAGACGAGGCATCTTGGGCGGCCTTCTTTGAATCGAATTCGCGGTGGTGGATAATCCATTGCGGCGGCGGCGGTAAGTAGTAGGTGTGGAGAGATATCGCGAAAGCTTCACTTCTAATGCCTTGAGGACGAGGCTCGCTGCCCCACACCCGCTTCCGTAAACACGGACCGCATGGTGCCGTGCGCTCCCCAGCCTCTTCCTGCCACCTACTTCCGGCCAAGCAGAGCCACGCTTCTGCTGCCCGCTCGGCTCTCCCCGGGCCGCCTGACCGCTCCGGCCATGCTCCGGCCGGTCGGCGGCTCGCCCCTCACTTCGTGACCGCCGTTCTTCTACCAACCAGCGGGACCAGGGTCTTGACCCACGGCCTACGCCTCCATGGGCCTCTGATCTTCCAACGCCGGATTCTTGCTGGGCGCCGCAGAGTCCATTCCCCCACTTCGTCCCAGCTCGTTCGCAGCACCATGCCGCGAGAACGCAGCCTGTCGCACCGAGGTTCACCGCGCAACCAGGATCTTGAATCGCAGGCGTCCTATCGGCGCCGGTGCCTAACGCCCTTCACCACGCTTGCCAGGAGTCCCCACGATGAGATCCTCCGTGTCTTGCGAGATATGGACCGCCAGCGCGCCGAAGACCGAACCGCCGCCGTGAAGCTCAATCCCGATTTGCTGCAGAACGCCGCCGCCCACTCCATCACCGAAACGACCTGACAGAGCAAGCGCCTCTCACTCCGCCGCCGACACAGCGGGCGCTCCCCCAGGCCCCCGGCCGATGCGAGAAACCGTTCAACTTCAACGAGACTCTGTCAGATACGCATCACTACAACGCCACTTTCCGCGTCAAGGAGCAGGCATCATCGACAAGATCCTGGTGCAACGAAGTTCCGTTGCCCTCCAGGTAGAGCTGCTAAATCTTTCTAGCGTTTACCGAGGAACGGACGTTGCCGGTTTCCCACTGCGTCTTCTGCTATAGGAAGACACCGCCTTGAACTCGCCACCATGCAGTGGAGGGATCGCTTGTCGCCCTCCATGCTGCAGGCGACCAGGACTGTCAAGAGTGTGGCGCGTGCCTTCCGTCACACGAGGGCGCCAGAGTTGACGTGTGCCGCGAGTGTCGCGCCGGCTTCGACAGTGGACGGCTGCCTAAAGCCTGCTCGGTCAACAACATGGCCATCGGTTGCGAACATCGGTACCCCGAAGAGCTTGATGACCTCTCCCCCGTTGAAGAGAGACTCATTGCCCTGCATGCGCCTTTTGGCTATATCACCAAGTTCACAGTCGACAACAAGACCCGTTCGGGAATCAGCTACCGCAAGCACGTGAAAGGACATATCGTCGTCCCGAACAAGTGGATGATCTTGTACGGTTCTTCTCATCCCTTACTGCAGGCCATTGAGAACATCCACGTCTCTTGGAGCGGTCCGGCAAAGCCTGGCTCCGCAGACGTCAGACACCTGCTTCAGGTGCGCAAATCTCGAGTGGCAGCTGCCCTGGCATGGCTGCAGGAACAACCCGCTTTACGAGATATCGCAATTAACCAAGCAGAGATAGATGGCTGGCAGTATGCCGACGGCTCCACTGTTCCGACCGTCATCATGGACCGCATGCGAAGGGAGGAACCGTCGACCGTTGAGAAGACACAAACGGACCACATAGTCCCGGACACTGATCGAGGCTTGGAGGAAAACAGCTTCAGAAGCATCGATGAACTGGTGAACTCGATCAACCCCACTTTTGCGGCTGAATCTTGCGATTTAGATCGTACTCTGTCCCCCGAGCAGACTCAACCATCCCCTGGTGAGCCGGCGACTCTTGTCCCCGACTCGGCTGCCATCGGCCTGGAAGTTGACGCCGTCTGTGAGATGTCTGCTTCCGGCATGTTTCCTCTCAATGGACCGGCTGCCTTCGCCGAGACCGATAAACTGTCGTTTCTGGCCGACATCGTCAACGCCAATCCGGATCGACATGGCAACTCTGTGCCGTGCGTTATGCAGGTCCAAACTGCGGGAGACCAGCCGTTTGTCCGAGTAGAGCGTGGTGCGGATTTTGCAGACAACTTGCACGAAGATTTCTTCCTCGAACATTTCCGAAGCTTTTCCGTGGGAAGGGTGGCCCGAAATCGAAGGGCGACTCGAGTCACAGCCGACAAAGCGTTGCTGCCGACCGTCGTCCGAATCACTCTCTTCATTACTGGGCCAGATACGTATTGCAACGGCACGAGGCCGATTGCCACCCATCCTGTCTTTTGTTTCTTAGTATTCAACACCCTCCTTCGCTCCTCCAACCGCCGCATCAGCATGGTTCGTGTCGCTAAAGATTCCTTCCACAGGCTCGAGCAGCGTATGCGAACTTGACGAGGACCGACTGAAGAGGCGAGAGGCGGAGATGGGAGGCAGGACCACGTCGGACCCCGACATATCGGTCTTGCTTCGCGAGCTGTCGATTTTTGGCCACGCACAGCCGCTCTCGAACGAATCCCGTTTGCTTATGCGGAGGAAGATACAAGCTGGAACATTTGGGCCGGTATGCCTGCAGTTTGGATTACCATCAGTCCCAACGACATTAATAATCCGATAAAGATGAAACTTGCCATTCATAGGCTGCACGATTATGACTCTGCAATGGAGCTTTTAGCCGATCTCCGTGAAAGGTACGACAGAATCGCCCTCAGCACCATGGATCCGGTTAGCTCGGCCATCTTCTTCCACCGAGAAATATCCTTATTCTTTGACAAGTACGTGAACACGGGCCAGGAATCGATCTTTGGAAAGATTAGCCACTACTACGCCACGGTGGAAACGAACGAGCGAGGCAGCCTCCACTTCATGGACTCCTCTGGCTGGACGGCAACATGCGGTTACCGAACCTGGTAGACGATATGGCCAATCCTGCGGAAGAAGGATACCGTGCCCAGTGATGGTACGTAGACTCTGTCTTTCACGAGTGTTTAGATGAAGATGCTGGAAAACCCTGCGACAACAGAGCCCATCCATCCCGTGGAGGAGGTCATGACCAGCACCTCGGCTCTCACTGCGGCCTTCGAAGACGAATCAACTTCATCGCGTACTGTTGCCAAGTACTCCACACGTACACCTGCCTCAAGTATTCTCTGAAGGGGATCGTTGAACAGGTGCAGATCCACAGAGACGGACGGCCTGCCGCAAGCACCGTGGAAGATCGTCGAGAGACAGGGTTCACAGAGGACTTGCTTCAGATCCGGCGCAACCATCCACTCGTCAATCGGTATAACAAGTCGTTGGCGGTCGGCCTTCGTCCACAACCATGACGTCTCGATGATCTTGACCAAAACCAAGGGCCTGGCCATGGTGTACTACATCACGAACTACGCCACCAAACTGGATACGCCGATGTGAAAGCATTGCTCTTGCCGCCGAGGTTGCCCGCCAACTTCGCGAGCCGGTCGTCCGACGTCTCGCGCGGATCCCACCCTGCCCGACGACAGGCAGCAGGCGGTATTGAATGAAAGCCGTCAATTCCTGATGAGAACGGCAAATCGGATCTTCTCCGAGCGACAACTCTCGGCCGTAGAGGTCTGTTACCTCTCCTTGGATATGACACCGACTTTACCAACGTGCCGCATTGGTCTTTCCTGAACCTGACGGCGCTCTATTGGGCAATCTTTCGGCTATGGGCACATCTCCGCCATCAGGCCGGCGAGCTGACGGACGCTGAACAGCCCCGGAGACAATCCGTCTGAGGCAAGGAGGCGAACCCTTTATGCCTGGACGCGTACGCGTACCGGGGCCATGTTCTACGAGACCTATGCCTGTACGACTATATGTCAATGATTCATTTGATGCGTCGAAAAGTCGGAGTGAAGACGACTCACATTTTTCTCGATGGGCAGGATTCCGACTGTGACGGCTGGATGCAAAGCTTCGACGGCCAGACCAGTACGCCGTCCCGATCTTCCAGGATACATCAGCGACGACCATGAGGACGATCACCCAGTGTATATTAAGCGGTACGCTCTAACCCCAACAACATTTTGGCCCGTCTGACAGCCTGTGTAGAATTCGGTCCTACATTTGGCGTTATTCGTCCCTTGGGAAAACTTCGTTTCTGAAAGCCAGGCGATATAACCGACATATGGACGACGCATCAGGCGGGCTTTGTCCCCGCCTCCGTTTCATGTCTCCAACATTTGTCTTTTGAAAGTCTGCCGAAGACGCGCGTAAAGACACCTCTGGGCCAGTCGATCGGAGGGTGACGACACAATTGACGTTGAGTACCACTGGACGACGGCCACTACGAGGATGAGCCTCCAGCGATGGCTCAACATCAGGCACAGCTCTACTCCAGATTTTGCGGAATTCCGTGCAAATACGGACGCCACAAAGACTCCCTCGTCCTCTTGGATCTAATACGCGACGTGCGTAAGGGAACCTCGCTGGAGGACAACCTTTGTCCAACGTCAGGAGGATCTGTACCTCAATACCCCACGACCAAGGCGACACCTTGTGCCAATTCCAATATTATCTCGAGATGATGTCCAGCAGCAGCCAAGGCCCAAGACCTGTTGCATCTTCGATGCTGGACGACATCGAGGTGGTTCTCAGGGCACCGTACTATCCACGAATGGCGCCGACATCGACGATACCTAGCTCGCTACGGCGATATGGACACCTGCTGCGCTCACAGGCAGTGACCTCAATGAACAAGGCCCTCGAATGCTCGTTGACGTCACTCCGGCGACTAGCTTCGCGGAGATGGGGCACACCACCGCAGCCACCTTCACACTGAACTATCTACAGACCATGGCCCTTCAACTCGTTTGCCTGTTTCTGGACAAGTATACTGCCAATCCGGACTCAGCTGGCCAACATCTCAGTATACCGGCGGGCCGGGTGGCACGGGAAAGTCGAGGATCATCGATGCCCTGAAGGACGTGTTCGCGGCGAGAAACCAGCCACATCTTCTGCAGATAACCGGCACATCGGGCAGTTCGGCGGCCCAGATTGGCGGCACGACGATCCACTCGGCCTGTGGGTTAGATTCCCATCGCGATCCAAACAAACCGCCTCCCCCTTCTCGGAGGCGAAGAAGTGGATCTGGAAACAAAGCTGGTACTCGTGATTGACGAGGTCAGTATGCTGGGAGCCACTCTGCACAACGTCAGTCGTCATCTCCAGGCACTCCGTGACTGTCCGGACGAGCCATTTGGTGGGATGCCTGTAGTTCTGCTGATGGGAGACTTCTACCAGTTCGCCCTGTGCGAAACAAGCCTCCTGATCAATAGACCGCCGGACGGAACAGGCACCTCTGCGACAAGCGACCATATCTCACCATAGCGGCTGTAGATTGTGGCATCTGTTCAAAACCGTTGTGCTCCTCGAAGACCAGGTCCGGGCACGCGACGATCCAACTGGCGCACTCCTGGATCGAGTTCGTGACGGGCGGCAGACACGGCAAGACCTCGACTTGCTCAACGCCAACATTGTAGGACGCTCCCAAATCACCTTCGACAATGGTTTGCGTGCTATAACGCCGCTGAACCGCACCCGCTGGGCCCTCAACATGGAAGCTGTCGTAGGCTGGGCGCGCTTCAACAAGCAACATATCCGTATCTTTATCTCGACTCACACCTGGCGCAACGGCACGCTTTCTCCAAACATCATAGCACAAACCATTGGACAAGGTGATGACTCTGTCTGCAAAGTCCCTGGTGTCTTTTTCTACGCCCAAGGTATGCCGGTGGTTGTGAACAAGAACATCTATACTGGCTTGAAAGTTGTCAACGGAGCCGAGTTTACTGCCGTGGACGTTATACTCGATCCCAATCACCCAGGATACTGCTTGGAGATGACGACAATCCACTTCGGGCCACCGCTAGGCATTCTTCTGCAGTCTCAAGAGACGAAAACGTTGGCGATACCGTCCCTGCCGTTGGGGACCGTGCTCATCCGACCCATGTCATACGCTCGATTCGACTAACTCTCTTCAAATTCTTGTCAGCAAGATGCACGACGTGGATTACCCGTGGCACCAGCGTTTGTTCTTACCGATTACAAGGCCCAGGGTAAACGTTCGTCGAAGTACTTTAGACTGTGGAAATCGTGTGACCAATGGGAACCCTCCAAATGCAATTTGAGCCTCTATGTGCAACTGTCCAGGTGCACTACGCTTCAGGGCATCAATATCGGTCCCGTGAGACAGCATGATTTCATTGGCAATGGGCTGGATCAGGCCATAGTTGATGGAATGCAGAACTTAAGAACTTGGCCGTAGAAACGAGACGAATGTACGAGAATTAGGGTTGCGAAAGATGGCATACTGACCAAGTTCGGGAACGGGGGTCGCTAGCACTGCCGGGCGCGTTGATACTGCCGGCCAACTAATGCTTTAGTCCGTTCCTCAAGGCATTGGCGGACCCTGAAGGGCCGGTCTCCTGTCCTGCTGAGGTGCCTTGAGGAACGAAGAGACGAGGATCCTTCTTCCGCCACCTCCGTCAGCGGGCCGCCAGCGCCCGTGCCTTGTGCCTTGAGGAACGAAGAGACGAAAGGATCCTTCTTCCGCCCCTCCGTAAGCTCGGGCCACTTGGCGCCCCGTGCGAGCTGCGCCAGCCTTCACCGCCACCTTCCACTCGGCCTTGCCGAGCCACACAACAACTCTCCCTCTTTTTCCGTTCTCGCCTCCACCGCCCGCGTTGACCGCTCCGGCTCCGGCCCCGCCGGCCCCGCTGCCGGCCCCGCTACGGGCGGAGCCCTACTTCGACCATGGTCCAGCCCGGCCCCGATTGTCCATTTGGATACGGATCCTGTGCTGGGAGACGGTCTACCCAGAAATCGACGTCATGGGGGCCTTGTTGTATGGGCAAGGACGCCATGCACTCCGGCAAGAACCGTACAGCGCATGATTGGCCCTCCCGTTTTGCGGGATGCTTCTAACCCTAAGCCCTCACTTCGTAACCGCCGCCATCCCCTGCGATAGCGGAGCCATGAACCACGTCTCCGTCTGCCCATCTATCCTTCACGCAAGCACCTCTGAGCTTCGGCAGACTACCCCGTCCATGAGCATTCGAAACCTTTGCTGAGTTTCTCGATCACATGTCGTGGTCGCCGTCTTGCTCCCAGGTGCCAGTAATAGACTGTTTCTTTCCTTCTTCCATGCACTCGTTCGGAACCATCCCCTTGCACCATGCCGCGAGAACACCCAGCCACGGTCTCACAAGAGGTTCGCCGCACCTTAAGGGATCTTGAATCGCGCCGGTCCTATCAGCGCCGGTCACAGACTGTCAGAGTTCCCCATGACGAGATCCTCCGTGTCTTGCACGATATGGATCGCCGGCGCGCCGAAGACCAAACCCGCCGCCGTGAAGCTCAATACCAATATGCCGCACACACAGCCGCCAGCCACTCCATCACCAAAACGACCTAGAGAAGAGCAAGCACTTCCTCCACCGCCCACGCAGCCAAGCGCCCCCAAAAGGCCCCGGCCGATGCGAGAAACCGTTCAACTCAGCGGGACTCTGTCGAGTCCACTCTACATCACTATGACGCCTGTTTCCGCGTCAAGGAGCTTGCGTCATCAACGCGATCCTGGTGCCACGAAGTTCCACTTGCCCTTCAGGTTGAGGCCTCCAAGTCTTTCTACCAAGCGTTTACGGATGAGAGGACGTTGCCGGTCCCACTGCGTCTTGCTACAGGAAGACATCGCCTTGCGAACTCACCACCATGCAGTGGAGGGTCGTCTGTCACCCTTGCTGCTACAGACGGCCATGGCTCTCCAGGAGTGTGATGCGTGCCTTCCGTCGCACGAGGCGCCGGAGTTGACGTGTGCCGCGAGTGTCGCGCCAGCTTCGACAGTGGGCGGCTGCCTAAGGCCTGCTCGGTCAACAACATGGCCATCGGTTGTGAGCACCGGTACCCCGAAGAGCTTGATGACCTCTCTCCCGTCGAAGAGACTCATTGCCCTGCATGCACCTTTTGGCTATATCACTAAGTTCACCGTCGACAACAAGACCCGTTCGGGAATCAGTTACCGCAAGCACGTGAAAGGACATATTGTCGTCTTTCCGAACAAAGTGGACGATCTCGTGGCCACGGTTGTTCCTCATCCTTGCAGGCCATCGAGAACATTCACGTCTCTTGGAGCGGTTCGGCTAAGCCTGGCTCCGCAGACGTCAGAAACCTGCTTCAGGTGCGCAAATCTCGAGTGGCAGCTGCCGGCATGGCTACAAAGGAACAACCCGCTTTATGAGGTATCGCAATCAACCAAGCAGAGATGGACGGCTGGCGGTATGCCGACGGCTCCACTGTTCCGACCGTCATCATGGACCGCATGCGAAGAGAGAACCGTCGACTGTTGAGAAGACACAAACGGACCACATAGTCCCGGACACCGATCGAGGCTTGCAGGAAAACAGCTTTAGAAGCATCGATGAACTGGTGAACTCGATCGATCCTACTTTCATCGCCGAATCTTGCGATTTGAACTGTACTCTGTCGACCGAGCAGACTCAACCCTCCTGGTGAGCCGGTGACTCTTGTCCCCGACTCGGCTGCCATCGGCCAGGAAGTGGACACTGTCTGTGAGACGTCTACATCCGGCATGTTTCCTCTCGATGGTCCGGCTGCCTTCGCCGAGTCCGATAAACTGTCGTTTCTGGCCGACATCGTCAACGCCAATCCGGATCGACATGGCAACTCTGTGCTGTGCGTTATGCAGGTCCAAACTACGGAGACCAGCCGTTTGTCCGAGTAGAGCGTGGTGCGGATTTTGCAGACAACCTGCACGAAGATTTCTTCCTCGAACATTTCCGAAGCTTTTCCGTGGGAAGGGCGGCCCGAAATCGAAGTGCGACTCGAGTCACAGACGACAAGGCGGGCCGACCGTCGTCCGAATCACTCGCAATTACTGGGCCAAATACGTATTGCAACGGCATGGAGGCCGGTTCGCCACCCATCCTGTCTTTTGTTTCTTAGTATTCAACACCCTCCTCCGCTCCTCCAACCGCCGCATCAGCATGGTTCGTGTCGCTAAAGATTCCTTCAACAGGTTTGAGCAGGCCTATGCGAACTTGACCGAGGACCGACTGAAGAGGGCCGAGGCGGAGATGCAGGGAGACAAGGACTACGTCGGACCCCGACATATCGCTCTTGCTCCGCGAGCTGTCGATTTTTGGTCATGCACAGCCGCTCAACGAATCCCGTCTGCTTATGCGGAGGAAGATCCAAGCTCTGGACATTTGGGCCCGTATGCCTGCAATCTGGATTACCATCAGTCCCAACGACATAAATAATCCGGTAAAGATGAAGCTTGCCATTCATAGGCTCCATGATTATGAGTCTGCAAAGGAGCTTTTGGCCGATCTCCGTGAAAGGTACGACAGAATCGCCCTCAGCACCATGGATCCGGTCAGCTCGGCCATCTTCTTCCACCGAGAAATATCTCTATTCTTTGACAAATACGTGAACACAGGCCAGGAATCGATCTTCGGGAAGATCAGCCACTACTACGCCACGGTGGAAACGAACGAGCGAGGCAGCCTCCACTTGCATGGACTCCTCTGGCTGGACGGCAACATGCGGTTACCGAACCTGATGGACGACATGGCCAATCCCGCGGAAGAATCGTATCGTGCCCAGGTGATCCGATACATAGACTCCGTCTTTCATGAGTGCCTAGATGAAGATGCCGGAAAAGCCGTGCGACAATGAGGAAGCCCATCGAACCCGTGGAGGAGGTCATGAGAGCACCTTGGCTCTCACTTCGGCCTTTGAAGACGAATCCAATTTCATCGCGTACTGTTGCCAAGTGCACTCCCACATACACCTGCCTTAAGTATTCTCTAAAGGGGTCATCGAACAGGGCAGATCAACAGAGACGGACAGCCTGCCGCTTCAAGGCACCGTGGAAGATCTTCGAGGAGACAGGCTTCACAGAGGATGGCTTGCTTCAGATCCGGCGCAACCATCCACTCGTCAACCGGTACAACAAGTCGTTGGCGGTCGGCCTTCGTCATAATCACGACGTCTCGATGATCTTGACCAAAACCAAGGGCCTGGCCATGGTGTACTACATCACGAACTACGCCACCAAACTGGATACGCCGATGTGGAAGCGCATTGCTCTCGCCACCGAGGTTGCCCGCCAACTCCGCGAAGCCGGTGGTGCGAGGTGTCGCGCGCCAGGTCCCACCCTGCCCGACGACAGGCAGCAGGCAGTTTTAAACAAGAGCCGTCAGTTCCTGATGAGAACGGCAAATCGGATCTTCTCCGAGCGACAACTCTCGGCCGTCGAGGTCTGTTACCACCTCCTTGGATATGACACCGACTTTACCAACGTGCCGCATTGGTCGTTCCTGAACTTGACGGCCCTCTACTGGACAATCTTTCGGCTATGGGCACATCTCCGCCACCAGGCCGGCGAGCTGACGGACGCTGAACAGCCCCCGGAGACCATCCCTCTGAGGCAAGGAGGGCGAACGCTTCTATGCTTAGATGCGTACGCCTACCGCGGTTATGTTCTACAGGACTTATGCCTGTATGACTACATGTCGATGATTCATTTGGTGCGTCGAAAGGGTCGGAGTGAAGATGAATCTCACATTTTTCTCGATGGGCAGGATTCCGACTGTGACGGCTGGATGCAAAAGCTTCGACGGCCCGACCAGTACGCCGTCCCGATCTTCCGGATACATCAGCGACGACCATGACGACGATCACCCAGTGTATATTAAGCGGTACTCTCTAACCCCCCGGCACCGTTTTGGCTCCGTCTGACGGCCTGTGCAGAAATTCTGTCCTACATTTGGCGTTATTCGTCCCTTGGGAAAACTTCATTTCTGAGAGCCAAGGCGATATAACCGACATATGGACGACGCATCGAGCGCGGCTTTGTCCCCGCCTCCGTTTCTACGTCTCCAACATTTGTCTTTTGAGAAAGTCTGCCGAGGACGCGCGTAAAGACGCGAAGCTCTGGGCCACTCGATCGGAGGTGACGACACAATTGACGTCGAGTACCCACTTGACGATGGCCGCGAAGAGGAGCCTCCAGCGATGGCCCATCGTCAGGCCTACAGAGCTCTACTCCAGATTTTGCGAAATGCCGTGCAAGATACAGACGCCACGAAAGACTCCCCGTCCTTGGAGGTTTAATACGCGACCTGTGCGAGAACCCGGCTGAAGAAGAACAGCCTTTTGTGCTACGTCAGGACGATCTATACCGGAATATACCCCATGATCAAGGTGACGCCTTGTGCCAATTTCCAATCTCTCGAGACGATGTCCAAGCAGCGGCCAAAGCCCAACGACTATTGCATCTTCGGATGCTGGATGATATCGAGGCTGGTTCTCAGCGCACCGTACTGTCCGCGAATGGCACCGACATTGACGATACCTAGCTCGTTACGGCGATATGGAGTCCGCCGCTGCGCTCCCGGGTAGTGACCTCGATGAACAAGGCCCTCGGATGCTTGTCGACGTCAGTCCGGTCACTAGCTTCGTGGAGATGGGACGCACCACCGCCGCTAGCTTTACACTGAACTATCTACAGACCATGGCCCTTCAACTCGTTTGCGTATTTCTGGACAAGTATACTGCCGATCCGGACTCAGCTGGTCAGCATCTTCAATATACCGGCGGGCCGGGAGGCACCGGAAAGTCAAGGATTATCGATGCCCTGAAGGGCGTGTTCGCGGCGAGAGACCAGCCACATCTTCTGCAGATAACCGGCACATCAGGCAGTTCGGCGGCCCAGATTGGCGGCACGACGATCCACTCGGCCTGTGGGTTAGATTCCCATCGCGATCCAAACAAACCGCCTCCCCCCTTCTCGGAGGCGAAGAAATGGATATGGAAACTGAAGCTGGTACTCGTGATTGACGAGGTCAGTATGCTGGGAGGAGCCACTCTGCACAACGTCAGTCGTCACCTGCAGGCACTCCGTGACTGTCCGGACGAGCCGTTTGGTGGGATGCCTGTCGTTCTACTGATGGGAGACTTCTACCAGTTCGCCCCGTGAAACAAGCCTCCTGATCAACAGACCGCCGGACCGAACACAGACCCCTGCGACAAGCCACCATCTCTCACCACAGCGGCTGGTTGTGGTACATGTTCAAAACCGTTGTGCTCCTCGAAGACCAAGTCCGCGCACGCAACGATCCCCAACTCCGCGCACTCCTGGATCGAGTCCGTAACGGCCGGCAGACCCAGCAAGATCTGAGCTTGCTCAATGCCAACATTGTAGGACGCTCCCAAATCACCTTCCATGACGGTTTGCGTGCTATAACGCCGCTGAACCGCACCCGGTGGGCCCTCAACATGGAAGCCGTCGTGGGCTGGGCGCGCTTCAACAGGCAGCATATCCGTATCTTTGTCTCGACTCACACCTGGCGCAACGGCACGCTTTCTCCAAACATCGTAGCGCGAACCATAGGACAAGGTGACGACTCTGCCTGCAAAGTCCCCGGCGTCTTCTTCTACGCTCAGGGCATGCCTGTGGTTGTGAACAAAAACATCTACACGGGTTTGAAAGTGGTGAATGGGGCGGACTTTACTGCCGTGGACGTAATACTCGATCCCAATCACCCAGGATACCACTTGGCGGATGACGTGACCATCCACTTCGGGCCGCCGCTCGGTATTCTTCTGCAGTCCGAGGAGACGAAAGCCTTGGCGATACCCTCCCTCCCGGTGGGGACGGTTCTCATCCGCCCCATGTCACATACACTTGATTCGACTAACTCTCACTTCAAATTCTTGTCGGCAAGATGCACGCGACGTGGATTGCCCGTCGTACCGGCGTTCGTTCTCACTGATTACAAAGCCCAGGGTAAAACCTTCGTGGAGGTACTGTTGGAGCTGCGTGGAAATCGTGTGACCAATGGTGAACCCTCCAAGTGCGATTTTACGAGCCTCTATGTGCAACTGTCCAGGTGCACCTCGCTTCGGGGCATCAAGCTTCTTGGTCCCGTGAGGTACCATGATTTCATTGGCAATGGGCTGGATCAGGCCATACTTGATGGAATGCAGAGACTCAAGAACTTGGCCGCGGAAACGAGACGGTTATACAAGGACCAAGGTTTCGAAAAGTAGTGGCAGTATACTAACCATCCCGATAGTTTGACCCTTTCGTACGTCGTAGCCACGATCGGCCAGCTTCTACTCGATCTGCGGTGCTGTCGACTAACCAAGCGTATCCCTTCACCGCCGACCAAGCATGGCTGCTGACATGTCCATCATATGCGACTCCATCCTCTGCTTTACCCTGCTCCATCGCGACCATCATTTGACTCATCGCCGTCCCACTTGTCCCGCTCGGAGCTCGACCGTACACGGACTCGGCAAACATCCGAAGCTGCATCGGGAATCAGGAATCCCCATATTGCTCGATGATGTCGCTCTTTCCACCGCGCTTCGTAGGTCGTGCCATTGCGATGGGGTCATACCGAGTGTCTCACACTCTTTCTTCTTTGCATCCCACCACGGCGGCAGTATACCGGGACAACGCTCGACGCGCTCCAGGAAACGCTTGAAGCCACGCAACCCGTTGGCGGCACCACCATATATGCTATCCGCGTCTGCTTCGCCTTCAATGTTGTACATGTCCTCAACGCGCAGTCGGTAGGCGTCGATCAGCAGCCCGTAGACATCTCTTTCCGATCGATCATGCAGCCAAGTGCGATTTTCAAGACGCGTGAAGGGGCGGATGACGCCCTGTTCCAACCCCTTCGGAGGCGATGAATTTCCCGTTGTAGGCCCATCTTGGAACGATGTCGTGGCGTCGGCCTGTTTGCCACAAACCTTCTTATGGACCTTCCAGTCTGCCTTCTGGCAATCCCTGGAGCAGTACGGCGTGGTGGAACATTTCGCGCACCTCTTGAGGAGGGCAACTTCAGGCGGCGACTTCTTGCAGCTATTGCACTCAAGGGCCATGATGACCTAATTCCGATGACCAATTCGTTGAAGGTTGCTTGTGTGAAGAGGCTGAATCAATTTGAAGCTCATTTGTGAACAGGTAAGGTGCTGTAGCGGGTCCAAGCAGCCGCACTACCACCTCTCTCTCCAACAGACTTGTTTTTATAAAACAACCCGAATGCTCGCGCTCGGCTATGCCCAACTCTCGTCCCGTTCCTCAAGGCATTGGCGGACCCTGGAAGGGCCGGTCTCCTGTGCACACAAAAATGCGGTATCGGCGCTGCCCGCGATCTGCGCCACATTTTGTTGTACGTTCAGCAAAATGTGTTGTACGGATAACTACCCATGCTTACCCCCCCTTCTGCTCACCCCTTATGCTCCGCAAAAATGTTGCCGCTCCATACAAATTGGACCAACTTCACTTATACAGAATCTACTCAATTTTAAAGCTTTTGACAAACAGTCACCTGTAACGGGTATAGAAATGACTGAACTTACATTTTGTGAAGTCAGCTGATGACCATAGGTGTCGTGACTCGTGACACCCCGGCATCGCGAAATGGCAATTTCGACCCCTAATCTCCTCCTGCCTCCTTTGCTTTCCACTCTTGCTCATCCTCCACCACCTGTCACAAATGGCAAAAGGCCTCGTTCCATCTATACAGAGAACGTGATGGCTGAGGCAATCCTCGATGTCACTGATAACGGTCTGTCGCAGCGCCAGGCTTCTCAGAAATGGGGATACCCCAGAGTACTATTTCCAGCAGAATGCGAGGTCAGTCGGCATTAACCGACCAGGAACAACCTGGAAAACTCCTATCCAGAGACCAGGAGGCCAACTTGGTTGCATGGACTCTTCGCCAAGAATCTCTGGGTTACGCTCCGTCCCAGAGTCAAATCCGCGCCTGCGTTGTTGCCGTTCTGAAACAGCAAGGCTGCGACTCAAGATTGGGACGTCATTGGGTAGAAAAGTTCATTCAACGCCATCCAGAACTTAGAAGCAAGGTCGGTAGGCGTCAGGAAGCCAACAGATTCGACTCATTTACTCCCAAAGCAGTGCACTGGTACTTTGACGTCAGGGAGAAGGAGTACGGGTGGATCAAGCCGGAGAACACCGTGAATGTTGATGAAGGGGGGATTATGTCGGGTTTTGGTATGCAATCAACTCTCCATAGGCGATATAAGCTAATACAATTTCTTTGCTAGGTCTGGACAGTCTGGTGGTTGGAAGTTTGGACCCTAAACGGAAGACTCTTCTCAAGGGACCCCAGTCCCGCAGCTGGACCACTTTTATAGAGGCCATCACCGCCGACGGGCGCGCCTTGACTCCTGGCATCATATTTAAGGGCAAAGATCTCCAGGCACAGTGGTTTAAGGACGAGTTTCGAGAATTTGCGGATTGGAACTACATAACTTCACCAAATGGATGGACGGACAACCACATTGCCGTCGAATGGCTTGAGGAAGTCTATTTGCCTCAGACGCGACCTGACGACGACTCTGAGGCCAGGCTTATCATTCTGGATGGACATGGGAGTCATGCAACGGTTCGTACTTTGTTTTTACGGCGATGAGGCCCTGCTGATTTGACGACAGAATAAGTGGATGGCTACGTGCTTTCTGAACAATGTCTACTGTTGTTATCTTCCATCTCACTGTTCTCGTAGCCTCCAGCCATTAGAAAACGTTGTTTTCAATGCTATAAAGACAGCCTACCGGAAGGAGCTTGACAGACTGGCTTCTTTGACGGATTCCACGCCTGTTGACAAGGTCAATTTTATACGTGCGTATGCCACGGCACGTCAAACGGGAATGACAACAAGAAACATCTTGTCCGGTTGGAGAACCACTGGAAATTGGCCAATCTCGCGTTCAAAGGCGTTGGGGCATCCTGAGATCCAAGGAGACAAAGTTACGGCATCCCCGGAACATAGGCCTTTTTTGGACTCTGACGACACCCCGAAATCTAGCCGCCATATTCGTGATCTTGGCAAGAACAGAACACCTACGACTCGGAGGCGATATGCCAAGACAGCGAAAGGCTGGGAAACTCAAGAACAGACACTAGCAGAACATGGTAGTAAAATTGCTAGGCTGGAGGAGGAAGTGGACAGGCTGAAGAGAGGAAGAAAGAGAAGAGCGATCCCTAACCCAAATAGACGCTTCATGCGTCTCGCCGAAGCTTTGGCGGCCGGTGAGGCCGTCCCCGAAATTGGGAGTCCAAAGAAAGCCGTTGTGGTGGATTGCGACTGGTTAGAGGAGGTGGTGGAGTCGGAGACGGAGACAGCTTCGGTGATTGAGGTCAACGTATCTGGGCCTCCGCAGCGCACCACGCGACAGGGTCGCGTCATAAAAAGACCAAGAACCAATTAGTGTGTTCAATTCTCATTCAAATGATGTATCTTTTATATTTATATGTACATAGTTCGCCGAAATATGAGCAGTTCAAAAATCAGATTTTGGGTGAGGTTTGTCTCATTTGGCGGAGCATAAGGGGGGGGTGAGCAGAAGGGGGGGTAAGCATGGTACCCCCTTTGTTTTCCGGACTTTGTAATCCTGGATTCTTACTTTCTCGGACGTTTTCAGACCCTTCGCACAGTGGTGCACACTCTCACAAAGAAACTTTGCAGAAAAGGCATATGATGTAGTAATGGGGTAGTTGCATCGTATTTCGTGTCTCTGTCTTCCTCTCTTTCTGTCCTAAACTCGTAGTATATGTATATGGTTAAGGCAGGCTGGGGGCCCCCAGCCTCTCGACTGGAGACGTTCCAGTCTTTAATAGGAGCTTTCCAGCCTCCTCGTTAGACGCGGTTGTCAGCTCCCTTGTTGGCGTAGCTGCCCATGGGTGACCTGGCTAACTCGACCAAGAGACGTTCTTCGCAACACACACAATGTATCGATTGATGATACTCGCATTGGCAAACATTTTCTTAATCCAAGCATTAGGTTTCCAATGAGAAGTTTTAAATTTAGTAAAAGTGTTCAACTTCTCAAGGCAAAGGGCAATTTAGGGTTAAAGGATGGCAATTGCTACACCGGCATGAACAAATGGCTACACCGGCATGACTCTTACACCGGCATGACTTTTACGGCCTCTGATTGGTCTATCCCTTGTTGTTAGTGCATTTGGATTCTGCCAACAGCTCCCGTTGTACCCCGGGCTTTACTCTGCAAATTGCGACGCCACGCATCTTCGCCAGCCAGCTATCACGCTAATTACTCCTTCGTTGCGAAGCCTACTGAGAATAATTGTTCCCGACTTTGCAAAGCCACAGGACTGCAGGAGCAGTAGTGTTTCGGACTCCTTGCTGAGACCAACACTCAAACACAAGCTGTATCAGACATCGCCACAGCCTCGTTTTCAAGGCTATCTGCACCACAAACCAGCTCTTTCCTTGTACTGAAGTAGTCCCCTCTTTCTCTCTTTCATCGTCGAATCGACTGCCCTGTTAACCATGTTCTGCTCCGTGCGTGCGACACTTTTCCTATCGCGATCAAGACCGCCAATTCGGCATTAGTTATGTCCCAACCTGGCTTTGGATCTAACTCGGTAAGAAACCGACGACGACGGAGCTACCAATCACGCCCTCGAAAACGACAGCGGCAGAACCAGTCTGATAGTTCAAGACCACCTTCGTCTAGTAGCATAGGGACGAGCATTGGCCAGCAGCGGCAGGCGAAGAAGTGAGTGGGAGCTGCTTAACAGCGACGAGGAGGCTCTTCCTTCTATAGTAGTTAGATAATAGAGACGTAGATAGCTGTCCCTAAGGGTGGACTAGAATTGACATTATTTCGTGTTGCAAACTAGACTTCATTTTAGTGCTCGCGGCTCGCCTCAGTTGAAGATGGGGCCTTGTTAAGAGATTTGGCTTCACCGCCTTCACGCGGATGTACCTGTGGATCAAGGAACGAATGGAGCGAATCAGAGGCTGTAAAAGTCATGCCGGTATAAGAGTCATGCCGGTGTAGCCATTTGTTCATGCCGGTGTAGCAATTGCCTAAAGGATAGGTATGTCGTATAGGCGGGATGGCTCCGGACAGACAGGTTCAGACAGACATATTGCAGGGATTATCGCGCTAAGCATGGGTTAAAAGCCATCGCGCCTTGACTACAACCTGAACGGGAATAATCGTTCATCGCCCCTTGCTAGGGTGCGCGTCGCAATAAGAATCGCGTTGTTCAGGTTCAATGGAGATCCAGCATCTCGTCCGACGCGAACGCGAACGCGATGGAGATCCAGTACCGCGACAGCCTCCCGATGATGTCCGCTCCGGCTTCGACAAAGCTGTAGAAGCCCTACCGCAAGAGCATCTCCGCGCTCCTGTTACCGGTGACGAAGTGAACAGCCCCGAGGAAGCCCTTCACTGGTTCCAAAACTATGCATTCACCCAGGGTTTCGCTCTGGTCACTGCCAGCAAGGTACGCGACCGCCTGCGAGTGAATTGTATCCATCACGGTAGAGGTACCCGAAATACTCGAAAGCTGCCGGACATCGTCACAGAGGGAGGGGACCGAAAGAAGGAGCTTACGTACACCAAGGCCAAGGAGTGTCCTTAGTCTTTATGTCTCCTACAAAACTATCCGGAGCGGCCGCGGAGGATAGAAGAGCGAAAAGGCTGGGTGGTCGGTTTCACTTACGCGTACCATACGCATCCGCCACTTCAAAATCCCTTCCACTACGCCTGCCATAGATCCCGTATCCCAGAGCGGGCTGCGGCAGTCGATCTGGCCCTCGCGCATCGGACTGCCGGCCTGTCAGCAACTGAATCAACCCGGATTCTCGACCAACACGGCTTAGGCAACTGTCTTTCTGCAAAGGAGTTCTACAACCTGAGCCGGTCTGAAGGAGACGCAGCAGTCAAGAAGCGCTTGACGTCTTGCTCACTTGTTTGGAGTTCGAGGACTTCCGTGTTCGTTGCTTCTTCAAATACCTTCTTGACGACCAAGGACGACGGACAGCGCGAGTACTCGAGCACCTGTTCTTCTGTTCTTCCGAGCAGATCCGCCTGGGTAGAAGATTCGTCAGCGGATTCCTCATGCAAACCGATGCGACGTTCAACACCAATTGCCTCCACCTGCCTTTATCTGTCATAGTGGGAATCACAAACACAGGCAAGACATTTCCTCTGGCTTTCGCCTTTATAACATCTGAATCAGCTGAAGCCTTCGAATTTGTGAATGCTCAATTGGCAGAACTGGTCTGGTACGATTGCCCACCACCTCAAGTCGTTCTCGGGGATCAAACCAAAGGGCTCGCTGCCGCGATGGCGGCGTCCCAAGCGAGCTGATCCTCAGGGTGAAGATGGGCAAATATTGCAGCTCTGTGAATGGCATGCCGCAGAGAACTTCAAGAAGCGATTGTTAGACTCGGGCAAATATACGAAGGAACGAAGGAAGAGCTACTTCGGTTTGTTTGGGATTACATACAAGCTCCCGATGAGGCGCGACTTGAAGAACGGCGAGGCGAGCTGCTCGCAGAAATTCGGGAGCCGGAACGCCTTTATCTCAAGAATAATTGGCAACCGAAAGAGCGCCAATTTGTCCGAGCACACACACGACAGTACCCGAACCTCGGATGTAACAGCACGCAGAGGAACGAAAGCTACCATGTCGTGGTCAAACAGTCTCTGAACAGGCAGCTTCCCTGCAGGCATCCTGTCAAAACTGGCCGAAAGCTTGAAGAAATTAACTCAAAAATCACTGAAGACGAGGATCGGAGCAGGGCTGACGTCCCAAGGCTGTTGGACCGAGCTGCTTTCCGCCTTCTTATCGGGAAGGTTCCACACTACGTTCTAAGCAAGCTAGCTCCGGAGTGGGAGGCAGCAAAAGCTCTAAGATGGAGGCAAAACACTGAGCTCGAGAAGGAGCGGTAAGGTATTGGGCCTTCTCAACGAACCTGGATGTCCCTTCGCGTGTGAGTTCCCACTCAGATACGGCCTGCCCTGTCGACACTGGCTGTACGAGGCTGTTGTCAGGTCCTGGCCTGTCCCACTCAATGTCCCACTCAATGTCCTTCATCCACGCCGGTTACTCGACGGACCTGCGGTGGTACGCAGCTGGACCATGTCTTATGCAAAGCAGCCAGCTCCCGAGGTCACAAAAAATCCAGGGGATCGTTACCAAGATGGCGGTAGGAACATGGTTCTTCAATCGGGATTGGAGGTCGTTCAAGTACAGGGGAGCCTCGGCGGACAGCAGGCAGAGGAGTTCTCGAGACTCTTTCGCCTACAGAATGACCGTCTAATAGCAGATTTCCAGGCGCAGGTACAGTCAAGAGCCCTCCTGCCTCCGGAATTGCCGGAAGCACTGCATTCGCCTGGCTTGAAGAGGTTCAAATCGCACGGTAGCACGAAAAGGCGATCCATGACCGGCCGTGAGGCCGCAGAGCATACTGCCGCTCGAGCGGACCGAGCCACTTCGGATTTGCTGAAGGGAGTTGATCAGCTTCCTGACCCTTCCTCGACCCGTCCTCTCCTTTAGCAACTTCGCCACAGCTTCTTCGGGAAACGAGACGTAGTCGAACACGGAGCACGAAGGATATAGAGAAGGCGACGACTGCTGGGAAGTCTCCAGATAGAGCGGAAAGGCCCGAAAGGGTGAGGAACCCGATATGCCTAAGCCGCGGTGCAGAAGCGGAAGGCTTCAAGGAGGATGAAACGCAGTTGGAACTGCAACAGCGG